TGAACTATCCAAACGGCAACTTTTCGGCGACCCTGCCAATTCTCAAGAAAGACAATTATGAGAATTGGTGCAAGCAGATTAAGGTGATCTTTTGTTATCAAGATCTTTGGGATCTTGTGAAAGATGGAGTAACATCGCTTGGGGAGAACGCAACGGAGGCGGAAAAGGCAACGCACAAAGAATTGAAGAAGAAGGATTATAAAGCACTCTTTATAATTCATCAATGTGTTGATCCTAATAACTTTGAAAAGGTTAGTGATGTTGATTCAGCAAAAGAAGCATGGGAGATTCTTAAAAAGTCGTTTGGAGGCGCAGAGAAGGTGAAAGAGGTGAGGTTACAAACTCACAAGAGAACCTATGAGTTGCTTCAGATGGAAGACAGCGAAAGCATTACAGATTTCTTCACCAGAGTTACAAGGTTGGTGAATCAAATCAAAGTATGTGGAGAAACGCTGACGACGAAAGCAGTTGTCTCAAAGATTTTGAGATCGTTGGCTCCAAAATTCGACCACGTGGTAGTTGCCATAGAAGAGTCGAAAAATCTATCAGTGTTTACGAAGGAAGAGCTTCAAGGGACTCTTGAGTCTCATGAACAGAGGATGGCTGAGAGAGCTGCAGGAAAGTCGAAAGATATGGCTTTGCAGGCACAGACGGAAAAGGAGAGAAAAGGAAAAGGTAGTTGGAATGGCAACAAAGGAGGAAACCAGTCGAATCAAAAGAAACCTTGGAACCAAGGCAACCAAAGAGGTGGTGCTACAGGTAAAGGAAGAGGTGGTGATCGAAAGACAGACAAAAGCCACATTCAATGTTTCAATTGCCAGAAGTATGGTCATTATGTTAGTGATTGTCCAGAAAAAAGAGAAATCAAGAGACTGATGCAAAGCTGGCGAAACATGAAGAAGAAGAAACGTTGCTAATGGTCACAACAAACGATGAAGAGAGATTCCAAGATCAGTGGTACTTGGACTCAGGATGCTCATCACACATGACTGGAAGGAAAGATTAGTTTGTCAACATGAAGCCCTCGTCGAAGAATACGGTGAAGTTTGCAAATGACAACACTCTAGCAGCTGAAGGTGTTGGTGATGTTCTGATTATGAGGAAAGATGGCAAAAGGTCAACAATTTCCAATGTGTTGTACATACCAGGCATGAAGAGTAATTTGCTCAGTATAGGGCAGCTTGTCGAAAAGAACTACAAGGTAGTTATCGAAGACAAGATGATGAGAGTCCTCGACGCAGGTGGTAGACTAATCTTGAAGGCTCCAATGTCTCAGAATAGGACCTTCAAGATTGGACTCAATGTGATGGAGCACAAGTGTTTAGCAACTGCAGCCACTGAAGTCGAAATAGAAGTTCGACAGGAACCAGTTGAAGATGAAGCAGGTTCAAGCAGACCTCGACGAACTAGACACATGCCTGCAAGGTTGCAAGAATGTGCAATCACATCAGATGATGTAATCGATGAAGAGGGTGAACTGGTACGTTATACTTTCTACGCATATGTCGAACCAGTCAATGCAGCTGAGGTATTGAAAGATTCGAAGTGGGTGAAAGCAATGATTGAAGAGTTAGAGTCCATCAAAGTCAATGATACCTGGTCACTTGTCGAATTGCCGCAAGGCAAGAAGGCAATTGATGTGAGGTGGGTTTACAAGGTGAAGGTAAATCCTAAAGGAGAAGTAACTCGACACAAAGCGAGACTTGTGACGAAAGGATTTCTTCAGAAGGAAGGAATCGACTTCGATGAAGTATTCACACCTGTTGCTAGAATCGAAACAATCAGGTTGGTTATTGGTCTAGCAAATATGAACAACTGGCACACATGTCAGATGGACGTGAAGTGTGCATTCCTTAATGGCCCCTTAGAAGAAGAAGTTTATGTTGCACAACCAGCTGGGTTTGTGAAACAAGGCGAAGAAAGAAAGGTGTACAGGCTTCATAAAGCCCTGTATGGACTTAAGCAAGCTCCAAGAGCTTGGAATAAGAAAATCGACAGCTTCTTAAGGGAGAAGGAATTTGTGAAGTGTACAACTGAGCATGAAGTATATGTAAGAAGAAGCAATGGCGAATTGCTTATACTATGTCTCTATGTTGATGATTTGTTGATAACAGGGAGTTGCAAGAAGGAGATCGAAGATTTCAAACATGACCTAAGTGAGGAGTTTGAAATGTCAGACTTGGGAAATCTCTCATATTTCCTTGGCATCGAATTCTACAAGACAAGTAGAGGTTTGATGATGCACCAAAGAAGATATGCAGGCGAAATACTCAAGAGATTTGAGATACAGGATTGCAACCAAACTTCGACTCCAGCTGAGCCCGGATTGCAACTGTAGAAGGATTCAGATAAAGATGATGTCGACCCAACCCAATACAGAAGACTTATTGGGTCACTTAGATACCTTTGCCACACAAGGCCTGACTTAGCATACAGTGTTGGTATGATAAGTAGATTCATGCAGAAACCAAAGGTATCACACCTAGCAGCGACAAAGAGGATACTGAGGTATCTGAAAGGAACTCTCGACTATGGCATTTTGTTTCCAGCAGCTGATGAAGGAAAAGAATGCAAGTTAGTGGGATACACAGACTCCAGTTGGTGTAGTGATGTTGAGGATCGAAAATCCACAGCTGGATATGTTTTTATGTTAGGTGGTGCACCAGTTGCTTGGAATTCGAGAAAGGAACCAGTGGTGGCATTATCATCATGCGAAGAAGAATATATAGCTGCTTCTCTTTGTGCATGTCAAGCAACTTGGATGGTGAACTTGGTCGAAGAAATCACAGGGAAGAACCATGGAGCAATTACCATGAAGATAGACAGCATGTCAGCTATCAACTTGGCAAAGAATCCAATAGCTCATGGTCGAAGCAAGCACATCGAAATGAGGTTCCATTATCTCCGAGAGAGGGTAGCAGAAGGGAATATGAAGTTGGAACACTGCAGAACTGAGAATCAGATTGCAGATATCATGACGAAGGGAGTGCAGGTCAAAGCCTTCAGAAGACTAAGGGCCATGATGAATGTAGACAGTTTAGACACAATGAATTAGGTGGTGTGTTAAATATAATTCATTGTGTAAACAGATTTAATTTGATATCATATGATTAGATTTGATATCATATGATTAATTTGATATGATATGATTAGATTTGATTTAGAATATTTTGGGCCTTTTATGTTTTGGGCTAGTGTAAACCTAAAACTATAAATAGGGTGCCTTGCTTTGTATTCTACATCACAACATAACAGATTTCACAGTTGCAGTTAGCAAGTGAAAGTTCAATAAGAAATCCCACAGTTGTGGGTAACACATTCTCTCCAAATACTTCTTCTCTCATTCTTCTCTTTCTTGTGTGTTCTTCTTTTCTTTGTTGTTCTTGATAATTACTTGTTATTACCATTACTATCATATTATGGGTTTGTTCATCAATCTTGAGATCAAGATTGAAGGGAATTCTTCATAGGGTGTGAGGGAATTTCCAACAAAAATGACGTGACATAAAATATAATAAAATAGAAATCGTATAGATTTATATTATTTATATATTATTAATTAAATACTAAAATAATTAATTTTTAAAGCTGAAATTGAAATGAAAAATAAATTGGTTTCCGTCAACGATGTTTCAAAAATAAATAGTAAAAGAATTATGACGGAAAAAATTTTATTTACTGAAAAAAAATTAAAACAATATTTTTTTTCAAAAAAAGTTAATTTTTTTTTCAAAATAAAAATATATATTTTTTTGAAAAATATTTTCAAAGTTTTTTTTTAATTAAAAAATTAACTAATTTGGTTTTTATTTTGGATATAGATGTCCAAATTATGGATTTGGTTAAAACCATATTAAAAATATATCCAAAATCTGGATTTGGTTAAAACCATACTAATAATTAACCGGTTTTTGATAACCGGATTTAGATATGAATATGGATTATTTCAATAACCGGTTTATTTGAGCACCCCTATACACAAACTAAAGGATTAGATTATATGGATACCTTTAGCCCTGCGGTCAACATGACAACAACTTGAGTGCTCATGGATATTGTTGATGTCCATAATTTTCCTCTCTTTCAACTTGATGTCAACACAATATTTCTTCATAGAGACCTCAATGAAGAAGTATACATAAAGCAAGGAAGTCGACAATGGAATACTAAACTTACTGACACACTTATTTCCACTAGATCAAACACATAAATTGATTGTTATGTGGTACGAGAAAAGGTGTTAGCTAGAGTTGTTCGCCTCATGCTTATCACGTCCAAAGAACAAGTTGCTGACATACTCACTAAATCATTATACTTAGGGTCATTCTACAACCTTCAAGCCAAGCTAGGAATGCTTAACATACATTCTAGCTTAAGGTGGAATGTTGAACATAATGGAGAGATTGATCTAACAAACTAGTTCATAGGATAGTATAACTGAGTGATAACTACCTTTTTGTTAGTTATCAATTAGTTATATGAAGGCTCAAATTAGCTACAAGTTATTTGATCTATAACTAACCAAATTCACTTCTATGTATTCATGATGATAAGAAATAAAAAATTCTGCAACATATAATTCTTTCTCACTATGTTTTTTTTGCATTTTTACATGCTTAGCTTGTTTCTCAATTCAATAAGTCGTAAAATTACTATTTGACAATCATTTTCGTCGCAACATGGTTAAAATTTTATCCAAAGAAGTATCTAATATTTTAAATATATAACCTTCTTATAACTCCACATACTACATAAATACTCCTAATTAATTTTTTTTGAAATACAAAGTTCAGTAAAAATTTATTAACTAGTAAATTGTAACTGATTAACAAAACATAGATAAAATTTATTTACTATTACTATTATTATTATTATTATTATTATTATTATTATTATTATTATTATTATTATTAATAATAATAATAGCTTGCTTATACATAAGAACTTTTGTAATAATCCTTTATGTTATGAGCTATTTATTCAAACTTTTCTGGCTATGGCTAGTGTGGAATCTTAAGGGGCTTGAATCCATGGCGAATAGTCGCTTCCCATACTTTCTTAATGTCAAACATAGTGTAACCACACTCATGAACATTCCATCTTTCTAAGGCATGAACTATTCCAGCAATGCGCCAAGCACTCATTCTTCTCCTTGGAAGCCAGTTCTGTTGTACATTAATACGAATATATTGATTACTTTTCTAATATCCCAATTGATATGTTCTTAAACTAATTTTTGGAAGAATATAAATTTGTCCTAAATACGAACCTCACATGAGTGCAAGTTTATGAGTGTGGTTGGAGCTATCATTGCTGGTGTATAGTTGTAGAAACAATCTTTTCGCATTTGTTTTGGAGGAAAATGAGAAAATGGTATGAAAAACGATCCCTCTGATGCTTGCATTTGCTCATCTTCATTCCATTCCTCTCCAACTAACCATATCTATTAGACTCGTAATATCAAAATCAAATATGAAGTAATAAAGTTGATCATTCAATAATCATTTCTTTAAACAATATATTAACCTTTGGAGCATTATTGATTGGTGAAAGAGAAAAGCTTCCATTTGACATGGTGAGTAATCGCTCAAGCTCATTCAGTTCATCCTTGTATAAAACAGTCACCTGATTACAATTTAGTTTCAATTAGGATAAAATTAACCATAACAGGAATCTCTATTCTAGTCTTTAATAGTTATTATTTTGAATGGAAAATAAGAATATATGATGATAATTAAGATATGAAACTGTGAATGATTCCTACATACCTGTACATTTTGAGTGCATAAAGCATTTGTAATGGCCAAAGCAACCTTATTAAACCTGCCTCGTAGAAGCACATGATTTGTCCCTTTGGGAATGGTGTTCAGCACGGTAGCAGCAACCAAGCTACTACCATCTACAATTTTAATCTTCAGTTGTGGAACCCTTTCAATATAATGTGCGCAGTGTGCGCTAAATTCTTGTTTCTGCGCATGCATTAAAGATTATATATCAGTATTAAAATTAAATATTTGGATATGTACATTAAAAATTGTTTATGTATAAATAAGTGTTTGGATATGTAATTACAAAAACACTTAATATTACAATTTCATAATAGTAAAGAAAAGGGTGTGTGAATTAACCTGATTTAAAAGTCCTAGACTTATCACCTTTACTCCACTTAACTCAGCCTTCATTATCGTCTCTTCAATCATTTTTTTCACTGTTTTATTCTGTCTTTTTGAGAAATACTATAAAGAAGAATATCATAAATATATTGGTATCCTTGTGGATATTGAAAAAGAAACATATAAAGTCTTAAATTATAGAGAGACAAAACCATACTTGTTTTTCAAATCTTGGTATAAGCCAACACTGCAGCTTGAGATCTTTGAAAGTGTTATTTTCTATGACAATGGCATGTCCCCAAATCCAGGTCACAAGAAAAGAACACATTTTAAAAGGATACATTAAAATTAGATACCATTTATATGTTTGAGGGTTCGAGGCTGCAGAGGCAAAGCCTAAGTTTAGTTGAAAGGTAGAATCAAGTGTTGTTAAATGTGTTAAGTACACAACATCTGGTATCTCCTCTTGTCTCTTTAAACAAGCTTCATATGTAGTATCTGTGGATGTATCCACAGTACCATACATGTAATCATATATAGGCATGAAGAGTGAGTAATTTGACCTAAATTTTGTGTGATGCAGCGAGTGAAACCTGTAAATGCCAAATTTGAATCAAACATTTCTCAAGTTGAATAAAAAAATTTAAACATAAAATTATGAAATAAAAATGTTAAATATTAATTTTTGTCTTTTCTAAAATAAGTTTGTATCAAAATGTTTTAATTATTGATGATAAAGTTTTTAGCTCTAATATTTTTTTTAACTTTTTGATAATTTTGTATTTGATAATCTTTTTCCTTCTCTCTTAGAGATCTTTTCCTGGTGAAGCTTTCAAGAAAAAACAATCTCCTTAAAAGAGTCATACTCTTTAAAGTAATGGATAGGGGCGGGTGGGAATAAGGTCTGAATGTTTATGTTATAATTCAATCATAATTTATGGAGAATTTTACTCAATTTTAATCTCAAGATTGTTTCACTCACGCAATGACAATGAAAAGAAAAGGTTGAGAATGAAAGAAAGAAAATAACGTTGAAAAAGAAGATGAATAATTCTGCAGAGAACTCTCTGTCCACAAACTGTAAAAAATATCTTATTCACTTGCAACTGCAAACTATGAATACATTATGTTATTATTAAAAAAATGAGAGTTTCTCCCTATTTATAGATTAAGGTTAGTTTGCACCTCAAGGTAAAACGCAAAACTACAAAAGCTCAAAATAGCTAACAATACTAAAATATGCTTAAGTCGAAGTCCTGTGTGAAACAACTTGTTTCGACACTTCGACACACTAATACAACTCGACACACACATTAGGCTAATTCGATTAGACCTTGTTTTTGTCGAGCTACACTGCTTCGAGCATCACTACACCAACTTGAACCAGTGTATCCCACTATCTTGCATTCTTTTCTTTCATCAGTTGTAGGAAACAAAATATCGTAGTCGAGAGTTTCATTCAGATACCTTAGTATCCTCTTTGTCGCTGCTAGGTGTGCTACCTTTGGCTTCTGCATGAATCTACTTACCATACCCACACTGTATGCTAATTCGAGCCTTGAGTGACAAAGGTATCATAGTGACCCAATAAGTCTTCTATATTGGGTTGGATCGACATCATCTTTATTTGAATCCTTTGACAGTTGAAATCTCCTTACATATACTCCATGCACAGTTGTGCACTTCACAAATATCTTCTCCCTTAGAAAATTGTCGATCTTCTTATTCCAAACTCTTGGAGCTTGCTTAAGCCCATACAGGGGTTTATGCAGCTTGTACACCTTTTTTTCTTCGCCTTGTTTCACAAATACAGCTGGTTGTGCAACATAAACTTCTTCGTTTAAATTACTATCAGGAATGCACATTTCACATTCATCTAATATGTGTGCCAATTTTTCATGTTTGTTAGACCAACAACCAACCTGATTTATTCGTCCTAGTAACAAGTTCAAGAACATCGTTGAAGTCGATTCTTCCTTCTGAAGAAATCATTTCACCAGAAGTCTTGCCTTGTGTCGATTTACCTCTCCTTTAGGATTCACTTTCACCTTTTAAACCCATTTCACATCAATTTCCTTTTTGCCTTGACAGAATTCGACAAGTGACCAAGTGTTGTTGGCTTTAATGGACTATATCTCCTCATTCATTTTTTTCACCCACTTCGAATTTTTCAATGCCTCAGCAGCATTAACTGGATCGATATCTGCATATAACGCATAATGTACCAGCTCACCTTCTTCATCGATCACATCATCTGATGTAATCACACATTCTTGCAACCTTACAGGCATGTGTCTTGTTCATCAAGCTCTGCTTGGGCCTGCATCACCTCTGATTTCTTCTTTTCGAACTTCTCTTTTGACTTCACTAACTGGTTTTTCACATAAGATTCTTACTGAATCCTACCTGAAATTCTCAGTCCAATCCCATTCCTTAAGCTCGTCTATGATCACAACTTACTTGATCAATGGGTCGAACAACTTGTATCCTCCAATCGAATGATATTCTATCAGGATCACCTGACTCTCCTTTTCATCAAGCTTTCTTCTCACCATGTTCATGATGGTTCTATTTTTCCTTTATGCAGTTCCATTATGCTGTGGAGTGTATGATGGCACCACCTCATGCACAATCCCTTCTTTCTCACATAATGCATTGAAATCTTTCAACACATACTCTCCACCATCATTAGTCCTCAGAATCTTTAGCTTTCAACCACTTTCTCTTTCGACCATAGAATTGAATTTGGAAAATACCTCTATCACTTCACTTTTCTTCTTGATCAGGTAAGTCCAAAGCTTTGGACTAAAATTATCTATGAAAATGACATAGTATTTGTTACCTCCAACTGAAGCCATCTGGATAGGACCACATACATCAGAGTATATGACTTCAAGAGTATTTAGATGATTCATCGCCATCACGATTTTCCTTTCTTGAATTGCAATCGGAGCTCTTGATACCAAATGTTAGAATTCAACCAAAACTTATGGAGAATTTTACTCAATATTGATATCAAGATTATTTTAGTCACGCAATGAAAATGAAAAGAAAAGGTTGAGAATGAAAGGAAGAAAATAACGTTGGAGAAGAAGATGAATAATTCTGCAGAGAACTCTCTGGCCGCAAACTGTGGAAAATCCCTTATTCACTTGCAATTGCAAACTGTGAATACAATGTTATATTATTATTACAAAATAAGGGTTTCTCCCTATTTATAGATTTAGGTTAGCTTGCACCCAAGGCAAAGTGTAAAACTACAAAAGTCCAAAATAGCTAACAATACTAAAATAGGCCTAAGTCGATATCCTGTGTAAAGCAATCTGCTTCAACACTTCGACATACTAATACAACTCGACATACACATTATGCTAATTCGACTGGACCTTGTTTCTATCGAGTTACACTACTTCGACACAAAGAATTAAAATCTCAACAGTTTTTGTCCCTATTTAGATGCAAGAAAAGAATAAGGGTCAAATTAAGGACAAAATTGGAGAAGATTATACAGTCACTAAAATAACATAGCAATGACTCCAAATGTGCAGACGTATAGTAATCAAACTAACAAGTTGTTCTCTAATAAAAACATCACGAGGGTTAGCACCCACCAATACACAAAAATATATATGGGTTCCTAGGGAGGTGTACAAAGTCTTCAGTCAAATCTAAAATTTTTATCTCAATATGAACCCTTATGAAAAGAATCTTTGCAAAATTAACACTTAAGCTATAATCTAGGTCAAAGACCCAAACTTAATAGTTCATAGTTTTTGTAATGAAAACCTTAGATATAATCAAGATATCGTAAGAATATTAGTTGTGAGACAACCCTTTTCGTACTAGAAAAAATTATATTGAAATCTCCCAAAAAGCACTTAACCTCCCCTAGTAGTAATTAAATATTGGTAATAAATTTTAGTGTGATGATAGATAGTGGTTAAAATAATTATTTTAAAAAAAATATTATTCTTACATTAAAGATTTACATTTATACTGTATTTAACTGTTTATCTATTATAATAATACTTTTTTTTAAAAAAATTAAAAGGTTTTTTATAATTTTTATTTTTATTTTAAAGTTAAATATTATATAAAATTATTATTGATTTAATTCGTAACTTTATTAATCAACTTTTTACATTTTATTAACCTATTTTATTAATTTTAATTTACTACTAAAAATATTTTTAATAACTGAATATTTATTAATCAATTTCATCATCTCATTAATCAATTTTTTAAATTTTAATTTTATTAACTAATTTGTTTCCCTATTTTAAAGTCACATTATAATAGTCACTTTATACTAATTTTAAAAAATATTATTCACCGTATATTTGTGATTAACAATATAATATAATATATATATATATATATATATATATATATATATATAATATAATATATATATATATATATATATATATATATATATATATATATATATATATATATATATATATATATATATATATATATATATCATGGAGACTCCTAATCCTTCCCTTCTTCAGCTTATTCCACTAGTTCTTCGAGTCGGACGCGCAAAGTGCTGCACCTGACTTTGACCTCTTATTTAATCAAATATGTAATGAATACAACAGGTGTGTGCATGAAGCCGGGAAGGTATTACCCCCGGAATGGACCATGCCTGACCTTGTTCGGACAATGTTTGGTGATGAAGCTATTCAGCACGGCTTTCTGACGGATGCCTACTATGATGTGCTGTTATGTGGCACTCATAGTTGGGGATGCGAGGAGCTTTACATTTATACTGTATTTAACTGTTTATCTATTATAATAATACTTTTTTTAAAAAAAATTAAAAGGTTTTTTATAATTTTTATTTTTATTTTAAAGTTAAATATTATATAAAATTATTATTGATTTAATTCGTAACTTTATTAATCAACTTTTTACATTTTATTAACCTATTTTATTAATTTTAATTTACTACTAAAAATATTTTTAATAACTGAATATTTATTAATCAATTTCATCATCTCATTAATCAATTTTTTAAATTTTAATTTTATTAACTAATTTGTTTCCCTATTTTAAAGTCACATTATAATAGTCACTTTATACTAATTTTAAAAAATATTATTCACCGTATATTTGTGATTAACAATATAATATAATATATATATATATATATATATATATATATAATATATATATAATATATATATATATATATATATATATATATATATATATATATATATATATATATATATATATATATATATATATATATATATATATATATATATATATATATATATGATGTATGTATTTGGTGTAACAAAAGAGTGTAAAAATAATATTTCCGATATTTTAATTACATAATATGGAACTTAACATTTTGTTTAGAGAAAATTACAAAACCTCTCCTAAAATTTGTTAAAATGACACTGACACCGCCTCTAATTTTAAAATATGTCTCTAATTTTAAAATATGTGTTCATATTTCTTTTGAGCTTACATATATCAAAGGATTGTTTGAGTGACACACAAAAATTATAGGTAAATATTATTAATTTTAAAATATATCTCTAATTTTAAAATATGTGTTCATATTTCTTTTGAGCTTACATATATCAAAGGATTGTTTGAGTAACACACAAAAATTATAGGTAAATATTATTTATATCTACGATTTTTTACTGTCACTAAAAAGTAGAGAGAAAGGGGTGTTATTGTCATTTTAATATCCGGAGGTGAGTATAATTTTCTCTTTTGTTTAAATTAATCGTAAAAACTAAGAAAAAAGTTATAATGAAACTTACGATGGTGTGTAACATAGATACTTCAATACGGGAAAACAGGAGATGAGTTTCTTAGGAAAGAACTCAAAATTGCAATGACCCATGTTGTTCATAAAATCAATGTAAAAGATATAGCCATACATTGCAACCACAGATGATTTATTTAGGAACAATGTTGTCGATAATGGGATAAGAAAAAGCACAACATATGCCAGCACCTCAGCAAATGGGTGTATCACAGCTGTCATAAAAAACAACAACAATAACAGAAGTTATCACAGCAGATAGCCATATATCAAGCATGCAAAAATGAGGGGAAAATGTTAGATACCAGTAATAGGCTGAGTAACAATTGAAGAATGATGATGAGAATGATATCGAGAATATAGATAATGATGATGAAGTGCTCTATGTAGCCAGTAGTATAAGAACTCCACTGGTCCAGCGTGCAAGATAGTGGTAAGAATCACACCATCACCTCTCCACCATGGTAAGTTTGCAGCAATAGGGAAGATCGTGTACGTCATATATAGTATAAGTGCCGTCAACAGTATTTGATCATCCCTGCAAATGACACACAATCAAAATCATAACAGTTACCTAAGAAAGAAAAATAGTTAAACGGAAAATTTAATATAAGGCACCAATTGGATTCTCTATCGACTTGTTCGAATTCGAGGCCTTTGTCAACAATTCTGCCTTTGCCTTTAGCAGTTTGATAGCGTGAGATTGAAATCCAAATCTGGTTGTGTAGCATTCTGATCAACATATAAGGGAAGATGAGGTAGTATGTTGGGTCTCTTTCAAGCCATATGAAAGAGTATATGCTATGAGCAATCCACGGGCTTATAATCACGAACTTAGGAATCACAAAGACATAAAACTAATAATGTTAGTCAAACTCAAAAGATTAAATTGCTTTAAAATAAATGCTAAAACCATGACCAATGTTAACAGGGGAAGAGATTGTTTTAAATGAAGTAAAAAAACCTTGAAGCTCCCAAGAGGTTTCCAAGGCCAATCTGTAAGGATACCAGGTTTGGAAGCCATATTTTGAATATGTGATGAAATCGTATCATATGGAGGCTATTTATATAATGCTTGGTATTGTTGATGGCAAAACGGACGTCTGCCACGTCTTAGGCCTAAAAATCTAGCCAATACACCAAAGTGACGGGCTGGCAAACGGTGGACTTATCCACCAATTTGTTTTTTAAAATTAATAAATTTTTGTTATATTTAAATTATATTTTTCGTTTATTTTTATATAAATAATTTGATGACTTAGATATAACCGGAATGAATCTTTTGAAGTGACGAAATAATAATTTCAAATAAATATTAAAAATGAATTTTAGATTTATTTTTTCTTACTTAACCAAAATTCGGTGTTTTGATACCGCTTGAAATACCAGGAAAATTTATATTTTTTTTGTTTATTAATAATTCTTTTTATACACTAAATGAACAAACTTAAAATTCATTGTTTGAAAGGGATTTTGTTATGATTGGATATGTATCCACTGTCGTGTACGGTCCAATCTAATGTCGTGTACGGTCCAATCTAATGCAGTGTCGAGGATGACCTAAATGTTGTAATAATTCATTGGGACTGTTGGAAACCACGTTCTCCACATGCTCCTCACTCGAAGACACGTCATCAACTGACCGACACACTTCGCGGAGCAGTTTTGCCCTCCGTAACGGACAATTTCACTCACTATTTAAAGATTGCGGGGCAGTTGACCCAGAATGATGACCACTAGCCGGTCATCCCTACATTCACATAGAAATCCTAGCAGTCATCTGTTATGCGCCTGAAAACCCAGGCCATAACGGAGACTGTTTCTCCAATGCAAGGGGCATTATAAATACCCTCTTATGCAGAAGGGTCTGGTAGGCTAAATTTTTACTCCTTAACCTCGGTATTTGCCTTCTTTCACTCTGAACTAACTTTAGCATCAGAGTGCCTTGTAGGTACATCCTTTTTTTTCCTCACCTGACGTTGGAGAGCACGACGTGTTGCTGGCCAACGATTTACTTCTAATCACAAGTAAGGTCATATTTCATTTGTTAAATCTATTCTTAGTTTATAAAATAACATACCTAACAATAAATGGAAAGTATAAAAAAATTATCAACAAATCAATTACAATCAACACATTACCTAACAATAAATGAAAAGTAGAAAAAATTTATGAACAAATTAATTACAATCAACACATGTTATCTTAATGCATAGATATTGACTTCTTTTCACGTGATAAACTTAATTATCAACCTAATTATATCATTGCATTGATGCTATAGGATTTTTATGTGCGTGACAAGTTGAAACTAGGGGTGGCAAAATAGACAGTGGCTCGCGGGCTAGCGAGACAGGTGCGTGGGACGGGCTGTGGCGGGTAAGTAGGTACACAGGACGGACTGTGGCAGGTTTGCATTCCCAAAATTCCAAAACAACCCGCCATTTTTTTGTAGGTGTGCGGACCAACTCGGTGGGCCACAACCCGTTTTATCACCTCTTTAGAAGGGAATTTCGAAAAGATGCACAAGGAATATCAATATTGAGACTAAAATTAATAAAAAGTCAAACAAGAAGCTAACATCAATCTAGTGCCAACTACTAAAGAGGAGGAGAAAAAACACAGCTACAAATCAAAATACATAGAAAAACCAACAACTGATAAAGTTAGATATCTTTAATCTAAGGACACCTGCAAGTGCTTGGTATTGCTACTAAATCAACTTGATATATTAATGAGATAGACATTTGGGTAGCTAGGTGGTCGGGTTTAGCATGGACAACCACGTCATTATTCCATCATTCTAGTTATTTAACAATAACATTTTTCGATTTATTAAGGTAATACACATTGCCTTTGTCGATAATAAATATTTAATCGAGGACTCAGTTAAAATCAAGAAAGAACTAAGTAGAGTTGGAAATATGTTCGAGATGACATTGTCTCTATTACTACGATTCTTAAGTTCAAATAGATATTTTGATTTATTCCGCTCTGCTTCCCGAATTGAGAATTTAACCTTGCCAATCATTTTGGTTAGTTGGCGCCTCTCTAAGGTGGTGATGTTTTCTTCACAATTATTAAAAGATAAATTTCTTTCTAAAGAGAATTTGCTTATATAAAAGGTGATTGATGACCTTGTTGTGGTGGAAATAGGATATCAAACTATTAATTAGCTTGAATCACAATTCTTAATTCACAACCGCTCTTTGATTTATCCGAAGGAAAAGGTCAAAAGAGGGAAAACCTATTTTTGCATCGTAAACACATTATGGAGAGAGACCTAGGTAAGGGGTTGGTTAAGCTTAGGGAAGGTACTAGCACCCTAAACTTTTGTAGTACTCTACAGGAACCTTTTGTTTAAAGTATGTTTTTTTAATTTTATTATCTGTTTGATATATATATACTGCACTAAGGGATAAAGTGACCTAAAGACCTAAGGGGTTAGTCCTAAGTTTACTCGGAAAGATGTCGCATCTTGTGCCTACATATCCTGACGGGAATGGAATCAGAGTAATTGTAGTTCCCCTCGAAAGGGAGGTTAGAAACTTCTTGATTGTGGTCAAGGTTTCAAGGGGAGTAAACGTATCTTAAGGACACACTTACGTGGAGTCTTGAAACTCCTATTTCTACGTTGAACTTGTTAAATGAAATTAGGGTTAAATTAGGGTTGATTAGATGTTCCACGGCAGGAAACCCTAAAAACAGAGTACGGCGACTCTTTGACCTAATGCTAGGGTAAAGGGTAATTTTGTCCACGGCGGGACACCTAAGCTATTAGGATTTTGAAATGTTCAAAGGGTAAGGCTATTAACTCGGCGGTCAAACTGTTAGACCTAATCCTTCGGAAGGTGATTTACGGTGAAAAATAGGCAAAAGACAAATTATTACATGGCAGAATTAAAGGTACGAAAATGAAAGAAAGCTGTAAAACAATAAGCATCGCGACGATCACTCGCATAGATTACAAATCCCAAAAAATGCAAAAAAAATAAATAACTGCGACGAACAGTGTAACAGCCCAATTTTTAATGGTTAATTATTTGAATTATTGGGTGATCATTATTTCATTTATTATTGTGGTAATACGTTATGCTATTTTATCATTAATAGTGTTTTGGGAAATTAAGTTGGAGGATATTTGAGGTATTCCTTATTAATGATAAGATGAGATATTTTATGAGAAAATGAATTGGTAGGTATTTTGAGAAAAGAATTATGATGAAAAGAAAATAAAAAGACATATAAAAGGAAATAGAGAGAAAAGGAAAGGATGGAAAAAAAGATAGAGGGAAAAAGAAGAGAAAGAAAGAAGGAGAAGAGAAAAAGGAAAGAAAAGTGGAAAACTTGGAAAATCTTCAAGATCCGCTTCTAGCTTTGATTAATCAAGGTAAGGGTGTGAAATGTTGTTATTCTACCAATGTTTATGATCATGTATGTGTGTGTGTGTGTGTATGGATTTGTTGGAGTTTTACTCATTTTCCATCTTAGGGCAGAATGAGTTTAATTGGTAGAAATGACGTTTTAACGGTTAGAATCGGGAATAAACAGAGTAGTTTAGTCAGGTAATGTTGGGCTAAGGCTACTGGGATTGATTGGAATTGAATCGGTCAGTTTGTGAGGATTTGGTGATTTTGGAACAGTTAGGGATTTCTGATTTTGCAGGTTCGCCAGCATTCGCCAAGCGAGCGGTAGCGAAGCTTCGCCAGGCGAAGCCCAGTGAGTGGGCAGCGAACCAAGTCAGAAGCGAAAGTTAGTCTTCGCTGGCAAGTTCGCCAGGCGAAGGGGAGTGGCGAAGGTTCGCCAGGCGAGTATGGTAGTGAATGGTAGCGAACACTTCAAGTAGCTACTGACTATGTTCGCCAGCAAGTTCGCCAGGCGAACGAGATAGCGAGCATTCGCCAATGGCTTCGCCAGGCGAAGGGTGGAGAATGTGACAACATTTTTCTAGTTCCTGTGGTTTCCACCCAAGGGTTGAATTCTTGGTTCGATTATGTTTAATTATTATCTGAAATGAATAGTTTGTGTACTATTGTGATAGGATATGTTGTGGGTAGTCGTAAGGCATGAATTCTAGATTGTATAATTGATTATGAAATGAGGTATTTTGACAATACTTGCATTGTTTAAATAAGTTAAGAGTGCATGATGGATGTGATTGTGTTCGTTTCTGTTTGGCGCGATGTGGTGAATTTCATGTTGATTGTATGAGATTATATGTGAATAATGCATGAGAACATAATTGTGAAAATGTGTGCATTGCTTAATAAATATGGTCGTTTGGCAATTTTGTGCATTTGTTTGAATTGAATGGAAATGCATGATAAGATTGATAAGAATGTGCATAATTGTATGTACTTGTATGATGTGAATGATGTATGAGTGTGTTTGTGAACATGTATGCATTTCAAGAGTGTATTGAGTCGTTTTGCATGTGAAGCATCATGATTACATTCTTGTGTGTCTGATCCCGCGTAGGATCTGCAGAAACCTCGTGTTCCCTTGTGGGGTGTGAGCGATGCTTTATATTTGATCCCGTGTAGGATCTGCAGAAACCTCGTATGATGCGATGATTTATATTTGATTCTGCATAGAATCTGCAGAATGATTGTGTGCCCTTGTAGGGTGTGAGCAATCGGAATGTGCGCCCGTGTGGGGTGTGAGCAATCCTGAAACATCGTGTGTCCATGTGGGGTGTGAGCGATGGGTGAACATCGTAGGCCCGACGGGGAGTTACTTCGGTAACGAGCGATGGTTCCATTTGGTTCTTCAATTGAACCTGCTGAACGAGTCGGTACCGCATTTGCATCTGCATAGAGTCGTGAGTCGGTCTCTATTAGTTGCATTTATCATCTTTATATGATGCATTGGTGAAATAAACATGAATGTAGATGTTTATGTGAATTGGTGATGAAATAAACATATTGTGTATGTTTATGTGGATTAATTGAAATTATAGATATGTGCATGATTTGTGTAATTGAGAATTGCGAATACGTGGTTATTGTGCGAAAGTATGCTTAG